CTTTTGCCATTACAAATCTGAAACTTGATAATAGCATTAGCCACCCAAATAGAATGTCTCCTGAGATATCTAAAATGAACCCATTTAGTCCAAATGGACCCATTATCATTAACTATTCTCAAGAAAAGCTTTAACATGGCAGTCCTATTCTAGCCCTCAATAGTTCTTAAACCCAATCCACCTTCATCCTTTAGTTTACATTGGACCAGCTGATCGTATGGATCTTATAGGTGGGTTCGGGGCCTGACCAAAAGAAATTTCGAATGCTCAATGAAATGGATTTCCTTCTCCGGAAGCCTAGAAGCGGACGATCAATAGATGTGAAGGCTTGCAAGCACTAAGGAGATGAGCTCCATTCTTTCGGCATATGACAGCCGCCTTCCTTTCCAATTGCTAATTCGGTGATTGAACTTGTCCAAGAGGAGGAGACAGTCGGAGTGTCTGAATCTAGTAGAGACTAGGGCAGTCCCCAGTATTTGAGAGGGAGCTGCACCTCCCCATCTAAGTTATACAAGAGTACGAATGATTTTTTGTTTGATCCTATAACTGGTGGCCGAGAATGATAAGGAACATTTGGCTTTCTTAATCCCAAGACCTGCCCAACTGTGAAACTCATTCTGGTTGATGGCCAAGGCATTACGCACGGAGCTATCTGCGAAAATGAGTACATCATCAGCATATATTATATGAGAAAGATAAGTTTATGAAATCTTCTTGAATAGGTGATCAGGTTGTTGTTTACTCCCCTATTAAAAAGCTGGCTGAATATTTCCGGGTGAAAAGATAGGCTCTAAGAGACCTGTCTCAAACCGCAGCCCCCCTAAAGAAGCTAGATGGAGATCCGTTAATCATAACTGCAAAGGACACTATGGAGATACATTCTCTAATCCATCTTACTTAAATTTTAGGAAACTTCAAGGATTCAAGGGTATTGAGGACAGCATCCCAAGAAACGGAGTCGTACGCCTTCCGAATATCTAACTTGGCGCAAAATTAGGAGTTCCTTTGTCTCTATGAAAGTGACGGACTAGCTTATGAGCCAGAAGAATGTTTTCACTGATGTTCCTGCCTTTAATGAAAGCCGACTGATGGGGACCCACCAACTCATCAAGCACTTCCCTAAGTCGATTCGCCAAAATTATCGAGATTTTCTTTACGAGCACGTTGCACAATGAAATAGGTCTGAACCCTCAAAGAGCCCCGGGTTATCCACCTTAGGGATCAGCTCAAAAAAAGTTAAGTTGACCTGTTTTAACAGCTTTCGACTTCGAAAGAAGTTCGATACAGCTTTGCACACATCATATTTGATGATTCCCCAACAAACCTAAAAAAATGGGCATTGAATCCATCCAGACCCGGGGCTTTATCCGATTTAAAATTCAACACAACCTTCTCAATTTCATCCGCCGTGACCTGTCGAATTAATCCTAGCTACTGATCCTCAGTAAGGACTCTCTCAAACTGAAAATGGCTATTCACATTGCAAGATCTGATCTGTCCCAAAGAAATGATCAACTACAGTAGCCTTGATGCTAGTCTCCCCATGTTCCATGTGGCCGTTATCATCTTTAATGGAACGCAAAGTCTTTCGGGCTCTTCTTTCGGGTAAGGCTGCTCATATAGTTCTTGTCTTTCTATCTCCATTTTTCAAGCACAGGACCCGATCTTTTTGTCTCATAAGAGACTCCTCCGCATCAAGCATTGCATTAAGTTCATATAGTTTTCGAGTTTCATCCATCGCTGCTTGCTCATTTCCTTGGTCCTTCGCAAGAATGGTTTGGATCTCGTACAGCTTATCTTTAAGGACTTTGATTCTTTCATCTATTTTGCCAAATGTGGTAACGTTCTAACTTTTTTGCGCCTCTTTGACCGCTTTAAGCTTTTGGACCACTTGGAACATGGGGTTGCCCTCAACTCCGATATTCCATGCTTGCTCCACAGTTCGGAGAAATTCGGTTAGACTACGCATTAATAAACCTTTAAGGTTTATGGTTGTGCTGCACTGAGTGATTCAACTGAATAATGCCTGGGGCATGGTCAGAGAGTCCATTAGTACCAGTAATAACTTTAGCTTCAGAGAAGAGGGTAACAATCTCATGGTTAACCAGAATTCTATCTAACTTGCGAGCTATTCTTCTTGGCCAAACTCTTTGTTAGACCACGTGAAGGAGTCCCCATCCCATTTTGGTTCCACCAAAGCAAGGGCTTCAATGCTTTCATTGAATTCCATGATGAATCGGGTTGCTGAAAAAGTCTTTCTAAGGGTCACAAAGAGGAGAAAGCTTGTTGACTCAAGAACGCATTTTCCTTCAGCCTTCGCAAACAAAGAGTTTGGTTGAAATGTTTATAAATATTGCATGTTATATTTGTTTATATATATAGTTAGTTGACTAAGCCCCTATGAATTAGTTCCAAGAAAGCAGTCGTTCACGTCAGGAATAGAGGTTGTTGATGTAGTTGCTTGTCATTTTCAGATGAATTTAGTGTTCAGTGTACCGCACTTACCCGGAAAGCCAGTAAAAGCTTTCTCAAATAGGGGGTACAAGATTGAAAAGAATGCATTGCATTCCAAGTGAGATGCCAAAGAGAAAAGGAACGAGGGGAAGAATCGACGAGGAATCTATAACATAAAATCGTGAATGAAAAAGCGTGACGAGAATTCTCAACTCGAGATGTTAGAAGGTGCAAAATGAATGGGTGTCGGAGCTGCTACAATTGCTTCAGCGGGAGCTGCTATCGGTATTGGAAACGTCCTTAGTTCCTTGATTCATTCCGTGGTGTGAAATCCATCATTGGCTAAACAATCATTTGGTTATGCCATTTTGGGCTTTGCTCTAACCGAAGCTATTGCATTGTTTGCCCCAATGATGGCCTTTCTGATCTCATCCGTATTCCGATCGAAGGTTGAAGTTTCATTCGTAAAACTATCTTTTTGAAGCAGATAGTTCACAGTGCTCATTCTATAGATACTAGAAAAGCCAACTCATGTTTCCACTCCATTTTCATTACGAAGATGTATCACGTCAGGATTCGTTGCTCAAACCGAATCACGCCAACGTTATGGAAGTTCCTGGATCGTGTAAAATAAGAGTAGTACCAAAGGCAGCACCTTCTGATTTCATAATCAAAAATGGAAAATTGGCTATGGAGATTCCGCGTGGTCAGAAATTCATACAGACAGAAAGGGCTTCGACAGGAAAGTCGTTTCGATCCAATCCATTCTTGGGGTCAAATAAAGACAAAAAGGGATATGTCAGTGACCTAGCATGACAAAGCACTCTCCGAGGGCATGGAATGTCTCATTTTTTGGTTAGAATCTCCACAGTAATGTCTGTTAGATTCTCCGGTTGAAATACGGGAAAACTCCATTCAATTCTTGATGGAAACGGAGTTTTGTGAATTCTCCCCGGAACTGGAAGAGCATTTCGAGATCTTCGAACATATTCGAGGGTTCAATGTGACTATTGTCACTTCGGGCAACACACAAGATGAGACTTTACTACCGTGGAGCGGCTTTTTGCAAAAGATGAGGGGGAAACTCAATAAGATGTCGGAGAAGCAAAATATACGAGATCACAAACGTAGATTGCTCGTGGCTAAATATGAATTGAGACGAAAGCTTTATAAAGCCTTTTGTAATGATCCCGATCTTCCTAGTGATATGTAGGACAAACATCGTTATAAGTTGTCCAAGTTGCCAAGAAATAGTTCCTTTGCGCGAGTAAGAAACCGATGTATTTTCACGGGTCGCCCTCGTTCCGTATATGAGTTCTTTCGAATTTCTCGTATCGTTTTTCATGGATTAGCATCTCGAGGTCCTTTAATGGGCATAAAGAAATCATCTTGGTAGCACCAAACCAATAGAACAATAGAACAAGGGTTAGCTCTGCAGCTAGTACAAGCAAGGTAAGTAGGTCCATTACCGGCCGACTCCGAACCGAAAAGACCTAACGGGGTAATCCCTTATCTCGGATCGGAGATGCTAACGGGGTGGGAATTGAAGTGGGAGACCTCTCTACAGCCAGTGTCTATTTCTTGTCAAGTATGCCCCCCAGACATAGACTACGTACAGGGTAGTACTTTTGGAAAGATAAAATATCACCGCGTGAACATAACATTAAGTTACGAATGTAACTCCCGAGGGATCGACCACTATTCTAAATATAGTAAGGCGGGGAACTGTTGTTCATTGGAGCGCCGGAGTGCGAAGGTTGTTCTCATCATTGAAGTCAGAGTGTGGGACTAAGCCTTGCGAATGATAAAGAAAAAAACTGCTTAGTTTCATTGGAAAAACTAACGCAAATACCATATTGACTTTTTCTCGCCCTACTTCTAAGGATAGATAGTTTAGGTCGGAGAGAGTGACTTTCTGAAATTCTCTCCTTTCCAAAGCTGCGCAAGGCGGCCCCCCCAGAACAAAGCCCTACCCCTCTTTTATCTCTCCCCCTTCTTTAATGAAAGACCCTCGCCTCACTTTCTATTCATTTTTCGGGACCCGAGGGCCTTTTTTTTCAAGAGGTGATTTCGAGAATCAACCAACCGACATATCTGCAGCCCAGGTGACTCCTCCACAGCCTCCCTCTCGCCCAAATGAAATGGGATGAATCAAATCAATAAGCTTATTGCTTGATTCAGGGCACAACGAAGCCAAATTCAATCAAGGCAATGAGGCTTACTTTTCCTGACGCTGAGTCATCCTATTCCAATTTAGCTATGCTAATGGAACAGGAAAAGTTTTCAAATGATATGGACCCCAAGAGATGAGCGAGAACCCCCAATTGCTTAGGGGTCGCACTCTATCCCGCTTGGTGGACTAAATCTTCTCTCCTTTTAGAATGATTTCTCCCACACACCTTTGCCCTCTTTCACCGAAGGAAGAGGAAGGAAAAATAAATCTTCCAAGCGGCCTAAAATCAAAGGACCTAAATTTCCATTAGATTCATTCCTAAGCTTGCTTTGTTGTAGCAAGATGATTAGTCCGAGAGTGCTGGAGAGAAGAGAAAGCGGTAAAAACCTCTCGAATTCGGTCACTGAGCAGTCGACGATTCTTTCACTGTATACCCCCCATCCTTCGGAGATGGAACGAAGGACACTATAATTATATATAATAGGGCCCCAGAATGCTAAAAGGTGGGGGAATAAGAGTTGTCACGATAGAAAAGAGCAAGAAATGACTATAAGGAACCAACGATTCTCTCTTGTTAAACAACCTATATTCTCCACACTTAATCAGCATTTGATAGATTATCCAACCCCGAGCAATCTTAGTTATTGGTGGGGGTTCGGTCCGTTAGCTAGTATTTGTTTAGTCATTCAGATAATGACTGTCGTTTTTTTATCTATGCATCACACACCTCATGTGGATCTAGCTTTCAACAGCATAGAACACATTATGAGAGATGTTGAAGGGGGCTGGTTGCTCCATTATATGCATGCTAATGGGGCAAGTATGTTTCTCATTGTGGTTCACCTTCATATTTTTGGTGGTCTATATCATGCGAGTTATAGCAGTCCTAGGGAATTTGTTCGGTGTCTAGGAGTTGTAATCTTCCTATTAATGATTGTGACAACTTTTATAGGATACGTACCACCTTGGGGTCAGATGAGCTTTTGGGGGGCTACAGTAATTACAAGCTTAGCCAGCGTCATACCTGTAGTAGGAGATACCATAGTGACTTGGCTTTGGGGCGGTTTCTCTGTGGACAATGCCACCTTAATTCATTTTTTTAGTCTTCATTATTTACTCCCCTTTATTTTAGTAGGTGCCAGTCTTCTTCATCTGGCCGCATTGCATCAATATGGATCAAATAATCCATTGGGTGTACATTCAGAGATGGATAAAATTGCTTCTTACCCTTATTTTTATGTAAAGGATCTAGTAGGTTGGGTAGCTTTTGCTATCTTTTCTTCCATTTGGATTTTTTATGCTCCTAATGTTTTGGGGCATCCCGACAATTATATACCTACTAATCCGATGCCCACCCCGCCTCATATTGTGCCAGAATGGTATTTCCTACCGATCCATGCCATTCTTCGCAGTATACCTGACAAATCGGGAGGTGTAGCCGCAATAGCACCAATTTTTATATATCTGTTGGCTTTACCTTTTTTGAAAAGTATGTATGTACGTAGTTCAAGTTTTCACCCGATTCACTAAGGAATATTTTGTTTGCTTTTGGCAGATCACTTACTACTAGGTTGGATCAGATGTCAACCTGTGGAGGCACCATTTGTTACTATTGGACAAATTTCCCCTTTTGTTTTCTTCTTGTTCTTTGCCATAACGCCCATTCCGGGACGAGTTGGAAGAAGAATTCCTAATTCTTACACGAATGAGACTGATCACACCTGATCAGTGAAAAATTCTGACACCAATCATTTACGAGTGAGTATACACCAAGAATTGACAAGCGGATGAGTTTTCTAGTTGGCTATGTTGATATAACTTAGATAGGGAAAAGATACTCTACTATAGGTAGGGCTGAACTTTTAAATTCGGGGCTTTGTCCCCTCCCCCTCCCTCTCCCTTACTCACCCTTTGAAAGCCAGAACATTCGCATAGAGGGGTATATGTATCAAACATGCTCCTCCACTGATGACAAAATGACCCAATCTCTCTCTCTTTCCTTATAGGCAGCAAGAGTCCGTAATCCCCCAGCGGTTATATCGGTCTTTCTGCTTAATCAGTACAAGATTCCCGTCCTCGCTTCTTCGTGGGTGGGTATAGCGTTTTCCTTCCTCTAGTTCGAGAGTTGCAGGAGCAAGAAAGGGGATTCCATATTAGTAGTTATAGTTGGCACTCATCCCGCTCTTGCTGCATCTATTGAATTCAGTATGAGTGAAGTTCCTGTTCTATTTCGTATCAAGTAGGGATCCTCTGTTTAGCAAATCGATTTTCTGTTTAGCTTAGCTCATCTCGCTTATCTCTTATCTCGGTTTATAGAAAACGTTCTTGATGGCCCTTTTTATTTGCTAAATCGCGAGTTTACGAGGTCTTTAGGGTCACGATAGGTCTCTTCAAATGCTGCCGCCGTTTATTGAAACTGGAATTCCATAAGTTAAGTATAGTACGCAAGGAAGGACCTATCTGAAAGGAAGGTAACGGCTGACAGATAGGGACATCGGTTTAAGCTCCCTCAATGGGTAGCTCATCTCATTGGCTAGCTAGCTCATATGGATAGGTCTTTGGCTTGCTCCTGTCCGCTCTTTGGTTATCTATCGGAAAGAGTCGTAATATTTCCTTTCTGTCCACAAAGAAATGATTTATATGTATTCCCGCGAATCTGGAATCTCTATAACTATGGCAAAGGTCAAAGCGTTCTGATAAGGGAAGAAGATACGTAAGCCTCTTTTGTCTCGAAAAAGGCCTTTTTGCTTTCTGTAAATTCAAGAGAAAGAGGATTTCCGCTTAGCCCGCCCCTAGCTCTCAATGCGAAGTCTTTGATTCTCTACTGCTTTCTTTAATGCTAGCTCTCGATTGATTGAGTCTAGTCAAAAAAACAAACGAAACTTTAGTGGTTCCTGGAATCCATAGGGTCAATAAATGCGCCATGGCCCCTTTGAAGGCGTAGTGTAGACTACTTTCATTCCACTTTCATATTTCTATATAGTCCTTATGTTTTGGTAGCTTTAAGCACTTGCTTAAGGTGCCTTCAAGTAGTCAAACTTACTTTGAAGAATCTAAACCTCACAAGAGTATAAAACCTCCAGTGGGGCCCGCATCTAAAGCCAAGATTGGTTTTAGATTACGGACAAAGTCCCATGCTTTGAACACGAGCCCATACCTTTTTAGGGTGGACTCATCAGATACTTCGACGATGCGCCGAGGTGCGATGGGGGGCTTCATTAGATCTTCCAAAGAAATAGAAAAGTCAAGGATTACCTTGGCATACCAATGAAGATATTCAAGATGGAGTTTGAGATAAGACTGTAAAAGTCTCTCCAACATCATTTCTTCATCATTTATTCAGAATAGGCGCAACTGGGAAAAGGACTCTTCGTCTAGATCTCGAGGAGCAACCCATTCTAGGATAAAAGCCCGAATTGCACCCTCTTCATAACAAGTCAGAATTCCCCTTTCAGGAAATGCTAACCATAACTTAAAAGGGAGTGGGCATATGCCGGACCCTGAGTACAAAGTTAACCAATGTCTTTTCCAGTGGGGGGAGAGTGAATCAAAAAATGAACAATTCACTTCCACCCTCACCTTGGAGAAGACACGATAACCCATGAACTATAAGGCTCTCAGTCAGAAGGAATTAAGTAAATGAACTCCCAACTGCTGAAAGACGAAGGAACTTACAAAACCAGAACATATTTTAATACACGACAGGGAAACAGGACTACAATCTGTTCTATCTACCCTGTGGTTATTAATAATAAAGCGCTTTGCAAATTCGCAGGCCCCCTTAGAGGACACAAGGGATTTCTCTTTCGAAATAACCCCTGTGCTTCCTCCATGATCCTCTGATACTCAAGGGCCACCTTCTTATCGGCGATAACTATATCATCACCGAGGATGGCATAATCCTCGAATCTCTGCCCTGGATACACTTCATAAGCCGCTAGCCACACTAAAGCATGATGCGTTAGGGTGAATACCGGCCATGATGAGTAGTAACCGAGAGTAGGGAATAAAGGCCTCGAGTAAACTGATAAACTCTCGCCTTCAAACGTGAAGGGAGTCTATCCAGACTCCGAAAGCCCACCATGGTCATAAGAAAACACCATGCCCCACTCAAATACATGGCCAAGAAGTCACCGAAAAGACTCGCCAACAGAGATCCAGAGAGGTCAACAGGTAAGAGGCCCTCCTTTACCTGCGCCGACTTAAGGTCGAAGGAGTAAAATTCCCTCCTACCCTTAAGGCGGTGCCAGCTGGTTGAAAGTACCATCCATCCTAATAGTGGAAAGGACTTTCATCACCCAATTGTGCAGGGGCCTTAACAGCGGCTGGAAGATTGGATTCGCAATAGCGAACAGCCGGATCTTACTGCTCCCCTCAAGTTTATGCCCAAAGCGTCCAGCTTTAGGTCGGGTTATCATAGTATCCGACCACAACGCTTGTGCCGGTGGTAGTAAAGCTTGAATAACCAACCAAAGCCGTCTGTTCCATCTTTAATCGACTCGACAGGATTATCATAACCAGAATCAGGAATGATTTCCCAGTCAGAGAACCAAAGCGAGTCTTTGCCAAGTAAGTGGCTAGATCCTCAGGTTTAAACAAAGTGAGTAAAGCTGAGGCGTCCACTGGTAGAGAATGGTAGATAGTCATTTGAAACTTCCGCCATTTCTCTACTAGGGGCTTCCCATCCCTTAACTTAACACAAGACTCCTTGCGGTAGTCTTTGTAAGTATTCGGACCAGAAATGAATGTAGGCTTAAAGGAAAACCAATGTAGTAATGCTCAACAGGATCTTCCTATAAGCTGGTGCATAAGCGGTGAGCATCGAGAAACCCGATGCTAGTAGCTTAACACAGAGCTTCTGAGCTTGCTCCCCGAGTTGGAAGTTTGGAATGTGGATGGTTCAGGGGTTTACCCTTATCCCCCATTTTGGAACAACCTTAATCAGACGTGAAAGTGCGCAAATAGACAACACTATGTGAATGACTCTCGGGTCATCACCTCTCCGTATTATCTTTCTATAGTGGGGAGGGATGAAACGCAGTATGCCACTTTGAGTTAGAGAAACAAAAGTCTTCATTTTGGGTCGAGAGTCTCTCTCACCGCCCAATATAGTCCTTATGCGCGTATAGTCCTTTCGCGCTATGCTAGGATGCTTATATCCGTTGCTTGCATTCTTTCTCCCTTTCTCTTTGATTTGCTTCCTTTGGAGTTTAGGCTTAGCCATCTCTTCCAGTGTTCTGTGCCCTTGTCTTTCGCTCTATGGCAGCAAAGGATGTGCTTATTTTGGGACGTTCAAAGCAGCGTGGTAGATCAACACGGTTATATAATAGGGGGAGCAGCAAGAAAACATTCGTCAATCAAGATCGATGCTCAGGCTACCCATGTTCAACCTCCACCGATTGTAAAGCGGAAGGAGAACTCACTGTCCAAATGGAGGGAAAGGAGAACAAGCGCTCTTCTTCGCACTCCCATCAGCCAACTCGAGTGAAAGAAAAACCCTGTTTTGCCCGCTACCCTCTTATTTAGTAAGACCCTCTTTCTGAGCCTTCCCCTCCTCCTTTTGAGTCATCTTGGATGAGAAGACAGAGACCGACTTCATCGACTTCCAATGTCCATGTGGAATGCAACTTGCTCGCTGAAGTGGAGGCGCTTTTCACTAGGGCAGACCATTCTTGTGAGAACGAGGGCTGATCCAATCGGGGCTCTATCTTGAACCAGTCAACTCTCTAGGGAAGACGACTAGCTTGACCTCTTATTTCCTAAAATGAACGAGATCATCACCTAGGAGAGCGTCTGGATCTGCCTTGGGCTTTGTCTTTGTTTCTATAGGATCTGCTGCTCCAACCCTATCTATTTGTGATATACCTGGGTTGGTTTGGCCTCTTCGTAACCCTTGCCGCTGATGGTTATGGGTAAACCACAGTAAAGCAGAAAGGAAAGCCTCTCGGAGAATGTTTTCGTCGCCGTTAAAGCCGAGAGAGAAGTCTCTAAACCCGCTATGGTCTGGGTTCTCACTCACATCATCCGTCTCGGGGACTCCATTACGCTGCTCGCCTTATTAGCCGGCGACAACCGTGGTAATTCATTAATTTAAGCCAGTTCTGGGTTATACATTGTACGACGAAACTCGTTAATAGATATATGTTTTTCTCAGGAACCAGACTTGCATGCACGAAGAATAACATATATATCTGGTCATCTTCTTGTGGAACTTCTGTCGTCCCGTTCATTATGGTTCCTCGGCCCTGCTAGCCATTTGCTTGCCCGAACTGTACACATTCAAAGAGGGGGCAAGCTAAACAAGCAAGCAAGCCATCCAAGTTTATAGAGTCTAAGGTTAGAAAGAACTTGGAAGTTTCCCTGTGACTAACTTAGCGCACTTCCGGTGGCAGCCATTGGGCTAAGTCTCTATAAAGAGCCACTCACATCTTTATTTATAGTTCGGTGTGAGATCAGCTAAATTAAGCTATGCTCATCATTTATGATCCATGACTTGCTCAATTAGAGCACTAACTACTTCAAAGGAATTCGTTCCAAAGATGCTTTTAATCGCTCCACTGGGACGATCTGGTCGAGAGGTTGTCCAGTCATCTCGGTGAGGAATTTCGCTATGCCACCCGCTGACCTTACACTGTGAGTACTACTGTAGCAAAGCCAACAGGAAGATCAGTCCCAAGACTCAATCTAGGCTGCCAACCAGGATTCAAGGGGAAGATAGTCGCGAGGAAATCTGATTCCATAGTCAAGGCTAAGACAGACCCTATGTTTACTTCGCGATAGTCTTAGCTCGACATTGTCAAGCCATACTATCTATCCAAATGGATTTGAAACTGACATTCTATCCTATATATCGGAGATATATGGTTTGCACTTCTGCTTATGGTAATCGAACTTGGTAACCAAACTCTTTCCTGGCGAGAAGATCAAAGATTTCCTTTGGGCAAGTTGACTATGGTTGGGAAAGGAACGGACCACAAGCTTCACGCTCTGCCTTTCTTGCATTTGGACTCTTTCGCGCTATATGCTGCTCTATTCTCTCTGCGCGCTTAGCTTTCTTTTTTCTATCGCTCTATTGCCTATTTCCTTCCCTTTAAAACCAGAGGTTTCTTAGACATATGCCAAGGAGCTCTCTCCATCATAGAGCACATATTGTCATGATCTTTGAATTTGAACAGAAAAAATCCATTTCAGATGAGAGGACCTCCTCTAGACCCGACTTTCCCCATATATGTTGGGCTATGGTATTTACCGTGAGGTAGGGAAGTTTGTGGCCAAGAAAATACCCAACTAAAGCATTTTCCCATTCCCCTGACCCAGCTGCTGCCACTCCTTGAGGTGGCTGCACCTTAACTCTACCGTTTTCACCCCCATTTCGCGGCTTAATGAACTTCAAATCTATTTTGGGAGAAGAAGTGTTACCTGGATGAGACGTATTCCCATTCGCAGTGTGATGAACTCCTCTGACTGCATTTGAACATGAAGATGAATCGTGCCGCATTTCAAGGGAAAGAAGCAAGTAGTTGAATTTAAAGAAAGGTAAGAGTATCATCAACGTTATCTTCAAAGAACTGATTGCAGCCGAGCAAAAGTGGAATTAGGGGAAGCAAAGCTTCAACAAGCTATTGCATGCTTGGCAAAGCTTCAAAGAAAGAGGTTGGGCTGTTCAAGGCATCTGATTGCTAGCTGCTGCTTTTAAACCTCGACAGTGAATGATCCAAGAAAAAGGTTTGGCTGACTTCCAGGTCGGTTAATTTAGCCTTCCTGTAAGAACATGAGCTCGAGCTCCATCATTGCATATGAGAATAGATGGACTTTCCAGATAGAGTAGAGAAAAAGGCTACTTCAATCAACTGGACTGGTCATTAGTACAAATTTGGATTACCCTGTATGGCAGAACTAGCTAGAGAGTTAGGTAAGACTCATAACCCACAATAAAAAGGAAAAAACCTCCATAGCAATTACAAACAAGCTTAGAAGGAGCAGTCAATCTTTTTGAGTCTTGAAGACATAAGGGGAACTCCCAAGTATTTCACCGGTAAAGTTCCTTCTTTATAATCTAGGATGGCTAGCATTTGCCTTTTCACATTCATCGCTACCCCACAAGTCATTCTCTGAGTCTTGTCCGGGTTAGGAGAGAGCCCAGACATTACTTTGAAGGAGTTAAGACAATCCTTAATGATGGAAATGGACCCCATTTCTCCTTTACAAAAAAGGAGTCAATCATCCGCAAAACAGAGATGGGAGATCTTTACCTTCTAACATTGAACATGATACTTGAAATGGCCTTGCTGCACCGCTCTCTCCAAAAGCCCAGAGAAAGCTGGAATAACCAAGACAAAGAGGTAAGGCGACATTGGGTCGACCTTGCCTTAACCCTCTGCCCCCAAGGAAGCAGCCCTTCAGTTTTCCATGTTTAGAAATTGAGAACCTGGTGGTGGAGACACAAAAAAATAGAAACATAACCCATTGGACTACCTTATCAAGAAAACCAGTGGCTCTAAGGACCACTCGAATGAAATCACAGCGAACCCTATCGTAAGCCTTCATTAGATCTACTTTTAATGCACATTGGGGAGTGCCTTTATCTTGGTGATAGTTTCTCAATAATTCTTGCGCTAGTAGAACATTATCTCCGATCCGTCGTCCCCTTACGAAAGCAGTTTGTTGGGGGCCTACAAGACCAGGGAGAACCTCTTTCAACATGTTAGCCACTATCTTGGAAAAACATTTTACTATAATTATACAACAAGAAATAGGGTGAAAGTCTTTCAACTTATCTGGATTTGGGACCTTGGGGATTAGTGCAATTGCCGTTCCGTTCAATTCCTTTAATATTGTACCAGATTTGAAGAAGGACTTTATAGCATTCAGAACATCATGCCCTATTACACTCCACGCTCTTTTGAAAAGGAAAACGTTGAAACCATCTAGACCTGGAGCTTTGTTATCAAAGAGGGAGAAGAGGGTTTCCTTGATTTCATCCTCCAAGACTTCTTTGGAAAGATCTAAGCTTTGAGAGGAGGCAGTATGTAATACTGGGCTTAACTCTATCAAGAACTTCCATGTTTAAAGGCTCATTATGAGGCATTTTTTGAATGAGAAGGTTTTGGAAGAAAGCCACAATCTCCTCTTTAACCTCCTGAGTCTCAGAGGTTAAAGAGGAGATTGTGGCTTTCTTCCAAAACCTTCTCATTCGAAAAATGCCTCATAATGAGCCTTTAAACATGGAAGTTCTTGATAGAGTTAAGCCCAGTATTACATACTGCCTCCTCTCAAAGCTTAGATCTTTCCAAGAAGTCTTGGAGGATGAAATCAAGGAAACCCTCTTCTCCCTCTTTGATAACAAAGCTCCAGGTCTAGATGGTTTCAACGTTTTCCTTTTCAAAAGAGCGTGGAGTGTAATAGGGCATGATGTTCTGAATGCTATAAAGTCCTTCTTCAAATCTGGTACAATATTAAAGGAATTGAACGGAACGGCAATTGCACTAATCCCCAAGGTCCCAAATCCAGATAAGTTGAAAGACTTTCACCCTATTTCTTGTTGTATAATTATAGTAAAATGTTTTTCCAAGATAGTGGCTAACATGTTGAAAGAGGTTCTCCCTGGTCTTGTAGGCCCCAACAAACTGCTTTCGTAAGGGGACGACGGATCGGAGATAATGTTCTACTAGCGCAAGAATTATTGAGAAACTATCACCAAGATAAAGGCACTCCCCAATGTGCATTAAAAGTAGATCTAATGAAGGCTTACGATAGGGTTCGCTGTGATTTCATTCGAGTGGTCCTTAGAGCCACTGGTTTTCTTGATAAGGTAGTCCAATGGGTTATGTTTCTATTTTTTTGTGTCTCCACCACCAGGTTCTCAATTTCTAAACATGGAAAACTGAAGGGCTGCTTCCTTGGGGGCAGAGGGTTAAGGCAAGGTCGACCCAATGTCGCCTTACCTCTTTGTCTTGGTTATTCCAGCTTTCTCTGGGCTTTTGGAGAGAGCGGTGCAGCAAGACCATTTCAAGTATCATGTTCAATGTTAGAAGGTAAAGATCTCCCATCTCTGTTTTGCGGATGATTGACTCCTTTTTTGTAAAGGAGAAATGGGGTCCATTTCCATCATTAAGGATTGTCTTAACTCCTTCAAAGTAATGTCTGGGCTCTCTCCTAACCCGGACAAGACTCAGAGAATGACTTGTGGGGTAGCGATGAATGTGAAAAGGCAAATGCTAGCCATCCTAGATTATAAAGAAGGAACTTTACCGTGAAATACTTGGGAGTTCCCCTTATGTCTTCAAGACTCAAAAAGATTGACTGCTCCTTCTAAGCTTGTTTGTAATTGCTATGGAGGTTTTTTCCTTTTTATTGTGGGTTATGAGTCTTACCTAACTCTCTAGCTAGTTCTGCCATACAGGGTAATCCAAATTTGTACTAATGACCAGTCCAGTTGATTGAAGTAGCCTTTTTCTCTACTCTATCTGGAAAGTCCATCTATTCTCATATGCAATGATGGAGCTCGAGCTCATGTTCTTACAGGAAGGCTAAATTAACCGACCTGGAAGTCAGCCAAACCTTTTTCTTGGATCATTCACTGTCGAGGTTTAAAAGCAGCAGCTAGCAATCAGATGCCTTGAACAGCCCAACCTCTTTCTTTGAAGCTTTGCCAAGCATGCAATAGCTTGTTGAAGCTTTGCTTCCCCTAATTCCACTTTTGCTCGGCTGCAATCAGTTCTTTGAAGATAACGTTGATGATACTCTTACCTTTCTTTAAATTCAACTACTTGCTTCTTTCCCATGAAATGCGGCACGATTCATCTTTATGTTCAAATGCAGTCAGAGGAGTTCATCACACTGCGAATGGGAATACGTCTCATCCAGGTAACACTTCTTCTCCCAAAATAGATTTGAAGTTCATTAAGCCGCGAAATGGGGGTGAAAACGGTAGAGTTAAGGTGCAGCCACCTCAAGGAGTGGCAGCAGCTGGGTCAGGGAATGGGAAAATGCTTTAGTTGGGTATTTTCTTGGCCACAAACTTCCCTACCTCACGGTAAATACCATAGCCCAACATATATGGGGAAAGTCGGGTCTAGAGGAGGTCCTCTCATCTGAAATGGATTTTTTCTGTTCAAATTCAAAGATCATGACAATATGTGCTCTATGATGGAGAGAGCTCCTTGGCATATGTCTAAGAAACCTCTGGTTTTAAAGGGAAGGAAATAGGCAATAGAGCGATAGAAAAAAGAAAGCTAACCGCGCAAAGAGAATAAAGCAGCATATAGCGCGAAAGAGTCCAAATGCAAGAAAGGCAGAGCGTGAAGCTTGTGGTCCGTTCCTTTCCCAACCATAGTCAACTTGCCCAAAGGAAATCTTTGATCTTCTCGCCAGGAAGAGTTTGGTTACCAAGTTCGATTACCATAAGCAGAAGTGCAAACCATATATCTCCGATATATAGGATAGAATGTCAGTTTCAAATCCATTTGGATAGATAGTATGGCTTGACAATGTCGAGCTAAGACTATCGCGAAGTAAACATAGGGTCTGTCTTAGCCTTGACTATGGAATCAGATTTCCTCGCGACTATCTTCCCCTTGAATCCTGGTTGGCATCCTAGATTGAGTCTTGGGACTGATCTTCCTGTTG